GCAGACATGGAGGAGTAAGCAGGAAACGGAGACATCACTTATGGGCTTCAAGGAGACAAGGACACAAGCTCAGCAATGTATATGTAACCAGTTTAGGTGCCCTTTCGGCTTCGCCGCCGGGCGTAATAAAATGTGTGTGTGTGTACAGTATGATCGTTGAAGACGTCTAGAACAAGGCATATGGGATATGATGGGCGGTAGCTGTTTGCAAGGTGTTCATAATAAACCTAGGTCTCATGTTTCTTCCTTGGTTTTTGATGCTTGACGTATGCAGTGCCGAGGTGTTCGAGAACGAGCCTGTGTGGAAAAAAAAAAAAAAACGTCGGACTCTGTGTTGGATCCAGTTCTTGGGGCCTATTTTGTTATCAGCTGTACTACGTAGAAGCCGATTTCTGCTTTGTACGGTATTTCAAAGTCGCTCCTAATACTGCTGGCTCGTGCACTAAGATCTCAAAGAGTACGAAGAGGACACTAAATTCGCACATAGCTGTACTTCATTTCCGTACCTGGATAACGCCTTTTACTGTACCTTTAACAGAAATCCGCGACCTGGATACAAAATCCGCGCCAAGAGAAAAGGGATACAGAGAGAACAGTATAGGGACACCCTCTTTCAACTCAGCTTTGTCGTTGGTTTATTGTTCAGGAAAGTTTGGTGGTGTGTGTGGAGGTGTCTTAGCCTCCCGTCATGGCGGAACCAATGGAGGCCGAGATTGTGGTGGAACCGGATGACGCCCCCATTTCGACGCCAAAGCGCCCGATTCGAGTAGCGAAGCCGACCATCAAAATTCGAAACTCGACCCGACTGGGCGAAGAGTCAGAGCAGGAACCGAAGAGAACGACCAGGAACACGACGCGATCAGCGTCAATCGAAGGAGCGGCGGAGCGAGCAACCGACATCAGAAGAAGCAGTGGCGGCGGCGGAAGTAGCGGAAGCAGCGATGGCAGGGCAATGCTCCAGAAGGCGTTGGAGTTGCTGGATGAATCCCGCAAAGAGTCCCAATGGCTGAAGGAAGCACTCAAGCGGCAGATGGAGGTGGCACAGAGGCAGGAAGAGATGATTCGCGATTTGAGCTCAAAGATGGATGAAACCACGAAGCAGATGAACGAAGAACTGAAGCTGGTCCGCGAGCAACTCGAAACTATCGCGACGAACGCCACACAATCCCCGTCCCTGTCGTACGCCGATGTCGCGCGATCAACCCCGTCCTCCCGACCGACCAACCTCCGAACGCTTTCGTCATTCGACACGACGCCCTCCAATTTCTCCGATACGCTGTACTGCACAATTGATACGTCTCATGCTAAAAGCGAGGCCGCCGAGCAGATGTCGGTCGGCTCAATCCGAACGATGGTAGAGAGCCAGATCCGCGCCGGAGAAGACGAATCCGCGTCCTGGCGGTGCCGAGCGGTGACCAAAGACCCAAGAAACCCACACCGCATCAGGATTGCTTGCAGAAACGATGAGGAACATACGAAGGTGAAGCGAGTGGTGGAGGCGAACTTGACACAAGGCGTTAGGGTTCTCCGAGACGACATCTACCCGATCCGAGTCGACAGCGTTAACCGCACCGCGGTACTGGACGACATCGGGAACCTTCGCGCGGGGGCAGCTGAGGCTTTTGCCTCGGAGAACGACGCCTCGATTGCGAAGATAGCATGGCTGAGCGACAGGAGCGTCGCAAAGGCGTACGGGTCCATGGTAGTATTTCTTAGTAAGGCATCAGATGCACGACGGCTGCTCAAAGAAGGCTTCTTCCACGCAGGAGGAGAGTCCGGTTACACCAGACCCTTCGAACGGCGCGAGCGCCCTCAACTGTGCTACAACTGTCAAGAGATCACCAAGCACAAGGCCTACAGCTGCGACAGACCAAAGAGGTGTAAGAGGTGTGCAGCGGAGGGCCACGGCCATGAAGAGTGCAACGCAACGGTTGTCAAATGCGTTCCCTGCGGAGGGCCGCACGAATCAGGCAACAGAAACTGCAGGAAGCTCTACCCCGCTCGACATGAGTGAAAGATTCCGAATGATCCAACTTAACGTAAGAAAGCAGGGAGCGGTACACGACAGCTTGATGAATGACGAGGCGATACGGGGTGCAACGGTGTTGGCTATCCAGGAACCACAGGCGAGGGTCATCCAAGGCCGCCTCCTTACAACCCCAATGGGGCACCAGGGGTGGACGAAGATGGTGCCGTCGACATGTAGGGACGGCAGATGGGCGATCAGGAGCATGTTATGGGTAAGGAAGGACGTGGAAGCGGAACAGATACAGGTAGAGTCGCCTGACTTAACGGCGGCGGTCATCCGGCTGGAGGAACGGCTGGTTTTGGTTGCGTCGGTGTATGTACCACGGGACGACAGTCATGCTCTACGGGACACGTGCAACCATCTACGACGGATAGTCACGGAGACACGGCGGAGGACTGGGAGAGTGGTGGATTTGGTCGCGGCCGGCGACTTCAACCGGCATGACCAACTGTGGGGTGGAGACGAGGTTTCGATGGTCAGACAGGGTGAAGGGGACCAGATCATCGATCTGATGAATGAGCTCGGCCTGAGCAGTCTACTTCCGCGCGGGACGAAAACGTGGCAAGGCGGGGACTACGCGACTACAATCGATCTAGTCCTAGCGTCCGAAGGCCCGACAGAATCGCTGGTCAGATGCAGGATACATGAGACGGAACACGGATCGGATCACCGCGCGATCGAGACGATTTTTGACAGCTCGGTCCCTATCGCAAAACCAGTACAGCGCCTGCTCTTCAAGAACGCGCCGTGGAAGGAGATTAACGCGAAGATTACGAACGCGCTGGAAAGGACACCGTGCTCAGGGACGGTGCAACAAAAGACGGACAGACTCATGGAGGTGGTAACGGAGGCGGTCCATGCCCTGACACCGAAGGCCAAGCCGTCGCCGCACTCGAAGCGGTGGTGGACGGCCGACCTAACGCAGCTTCGCCAGATTTACACCTACTGGAGAAACCGAGCTCGTGCAGAAAGGCGGGCGGGACTAGTCAGGGCGGATCTAGAAGAGAAGGCAAAGGGTGCGTCGAAACAGTACCACGACGCGATTCGTCAGCAAAAGAGGAAGCACTGGAACGAGTTTCTGGCCGACAACGACAACATATGGAAGGCGGCCAGGTACTTGAAGGCCGGACAAGACGAGGCTTTCGGCAAGGTGCCGCAGCTGGTCAGAACGGACAAAACGGCGACGACGAACCACACAGAGCAGGCGGAGGAGCTACTCAACACCTTCTTCCCTGCCCTGCCGGAAGAAATTGAGGATGAGGGCGATAGACCGCAGAGAGCCGCCATAGAGATGCCGCCTGTCAGCATGGAGGAAGTGGAGCGTCAGTTATTCCTCACAAAATCCTGGAAGGCACCCGGAGAAGACGGGCTTCCAGCGATGGTCTGGAAACAAATATGGCCGGCGGTGCGATACTGGGTGTTGGCAATTTTCCAGATGTCTCTCGAAGAAGGGGCGCTGCCCCATCAGTGGAGACATGCAAAGATCATACCACTCAAGAAGCCGGGCAAGGACGACTACACTCTGGCAAAAGCGTGGCGGCCGATCTCACTGCTAGCTACCTTGGGTAAAGTGC